CCAGAATCAATAAAATTGCGCGCGATTCCAATAGGTCGGCCACCCAACTGGAAGATCAAAGAGAAACTTCAACCTCTTTTTCTTCGTCAACCATTATCCTCTTTTTCTCGGTCTCCGGACTGCTTCCGGACAATAAATCTCGTGGCAAACTCCGCCTACTTCGGTGCGTGCCCCGCCCACCAATAGCATTTGGCCCCCTTCCTTTCGCCGACCTCTACCCCTTTTTCACCGGTCTCTGGGACCTCTTGGAACCAAATTACGACACTTTTGGCAAACTCCGCCCACTTAGGTGCGTGCTCCGCCCACTAATAGCAGTTGACCTCTTTTCCCTCGCCAACCTCTAACCCCGTTTTCCCCTATCTCTAGGACCTCTTGGAACCGAATTGCGACACTTTTGGCAAACTCCGCCCACTTTAGTGCGTGCTCCGCCCACTAATAGCAGTTGACCTCCTTTCCTTCGCCTCTACTCCCTTTTTCCCGGCCTCCGGGACTTCTTGGAGCCGAGTTATGAATTTTCGTCGCAAACTCCGCCCACTTTGGTCAAGCCCCGCCCACCGATGACAGCTGGCCTCCACTCCTCCACCCACCTCCATCCACCTTTTTCCCGGCCTCCGGGACTTCTTGGAGCCGAGTTATGAATTTTCGTCGCAAACTCCGCCCACTTTGGTCAACCATTGACAGCTGGCCTCCACTCCTCCATACACCTCTATCCACCTTTTTCCGCTCTTTAACCTTTGACGACAATGCGGATTTGCACGTAGCGTGCTCGTGGGACCACGCCTCTTTTTGGCGCGCCCAACTCTCGCACAAAATGGGGCAAAATTGTCCCTAAAAGCAGTTTTTCTATCAAAATTTTGACTATGACAAATAAAATATGACTGCAGTCTTAAGCTTTATGATCATGTATTGTTGGAATTAGAAGTGGAAGTTTGGAAAGAAATCTCGGATTTCAAAGGGATGGTGTTTGAAAACTCTAGAAGTTCAAATGTACAGTAGAATTTTGATATAGTTCAAACTCCTCCTTGTGTCTTAAGACTGTGAAAAGACGTAGAGGTCCTGATCTGTAATTCACCTTAAGCTTAATAATGTAAAACACTAGTTAATACATCGCCGAGCGAAGTGCCATATCCTAAAATTTCATATAAATTAGCTAGTAACAAACATTTCTGCAAAATATGCTAAACATAGGCGTAACGGAGCTTGCTTATAATTACTGATATGTTGAAAATGTTTTAAATGGGTAAAGAAGAAAATTTTAGGGTGGCACCCACCATTGGGTGCCATTGTCCCACGCGACGGTCATAGTGGCACCCACCGGTGGGTGCCATTGTCGTCAAAGGGTTAAGGCTTCACCGGCCCGAATTATGAGGACTTGTAGAAAATGCTGTACACTTCAGAGCGCGCCCGCCCATTGTGGGCGGCCTCCGCCCACGTCATGTATGCTGGGAACACCTTAGACATTGCTCCCTTACACCAAATTGTTTTCTGCTCTGTAGGCTTTCTCCCAACCGAGTTATGAAATTTTTCATAAAGCACTGCTTTTTTGGAGAACGCCCACCGGGGTGGGTCTCCCTAATTCGATGTGACTTACCAATGCACACCTTTACCCACTTTTTGGCCCAGTTTCGAGGTTGTTTTGTCACTGAAATCGAAATCTTGGTCTTCGGTACAGTTCAACGCACGCCCACTGTGGGCGGGGCTCCGCTTAGCTGATGTGTTTTGTTCGTGAGACCTTGCCCACCCATCCCACACTTGACCCGGTCCCTCCAGGCGGATCCCGAGGAGCTAGGGAATTTCGTGACAGACATACAGACGACAGACAGACGACAGACGACAGACGACAGACGAAGCGCTTTATAGTAGGTTGGAAAGAAAGTTCTGCAACACTCTTCCCACAATTTTCTTTTTTCCTAGAGCATTCTCGGGGCTTCAATCCACGAGGTGGATATAAGTGCTGCAGTCAGTAGTTATCCAAGAAAATTCAAAAAACCTCGACCACTAGTAAATCCATACTCCGAGTCACTGTCTAGTACAAATGTCTCCATAACTATGGATTCGTGTCAACGACCAACACTATCTGCAATAGCTTCAATAGGCATGTCGTTCACCGCTACAGCGTGTTTCACCTTTACCAGCGCTTTCGATCTTTTGATATTTTTATAAGAAGCCAGCAGCGTCCCGCACACTCCATTACAGGTAGGGCTCTTACGGAAGCTCCACTACAAATTCTTTCGTTATGGGCACCATTGTGTAGGTAGAGGTCTAGGCTGCGGAACTCCAGAAGCTGGCCGAGGCAGCTCGTCAAGAGCCCTCGTACCGCGACAATATTCATTTCTTTCATGACATTGCGAATCACCATGATCCGAAATGAGCCCGGTAAGAAATTCTGGAGCTGCGGCAAGATTTCTTACCTCTCTTAGCGTATTCCCCTGGTCGAGCTATAAATGACTGCCACCTATCCTGGACCTTAAATCATCATCTTGATGACGAAATAATTAGACGATCAACTCCAACTCGAAAGTGAGGTCGCCTCCTTTCTCGACCCGCACTCCGCTGGGTTTTGGCAAAGGAGCATCAAGAAATTTTCTGAGCGTTGAAGACAAGTGGTGGACACTCATGGTAGATATAAGACCGGTCAGGAGTTGTAAACAAAAAAGATAAAATTAAAATCAAAAATTTGAAAAAGTGTTGCAGGACTTTCTTTCCAACCTAATAGTTAGTAGGATAGCAGAGACCGGAGAATCCCTTGGCTGAATAGCGGGTTCGATCGAAAAGCGTATTCTGATGACAGGTCTTGTCCATGGCTTGTTTAGGCCTTAACCCCTAACCCTATACTTGGCCATTCTTCATTGCGGACCTCATCTGGTTGCAGACTTGCTTTCCTTGCATGCCGATATGTTACTTCTTGTTGTTCGTCACGTGCGTTTTTCTCATATACTGTATGTGTGACTCTCGTGTAACTGTAAGTATACTAGCTGTCATTCTCTCTATGTATATGTAACTCTGTATGGTGTTATTATTCACGCATATACTGATCTAAGCAGAACACCTCTGTGACCATGGTGAGCAGCCAATATAATATTTAATTACTGCAGCTATACTCACTACATCACCTTTCACTTCACATTCTAACGATGCTTCATCTATTCAAGCGTGTCGTTCAGGTGAATTCCTTTTTTATGATGGCTCAATGTACATAAATGTTGGTAGTGCGCATTCAATTGAATTGTCCGTTTGTCGCCCTCAAAGGTTTTCATAGCTCTTGATCATATCGACAACAAAGTATCTGGTTGGACAGTGAACATCGCCGCCCTTTCTAGCCCGTGGCTCACACAAAGGGATAAAAATGCATTCCCTAGCTCGAACCTGTGACTGTAAAGGACGAATCGCAATCGCAATAAAAACACAACCATGATTCTGAAAAAGCGAAGTGCGGTGCTCATCCCGAAAGGGGATGCTTGCCACCAAAGCCATTTTTATTATGGTTGTTTGCTAAATTCATGTTAAATTTCGTTAAGGTTGCGGTTTTGCTGGCGAAATGTTCGTCCTATTTCCAGTATCACTACCCCCAAGTCATGCATGAAATGAGTAAGCCTCGTCGAAGCAAACCACACACCACGGTCTGGCTGTTATGGTGCCCGGAACGTGTTCTGCGGTAAGCCTCGTCGAAGCAAACCATCAACCACGCGCCTTTTGATTAAGCCCAGATGTCGTTCAGGGGTAATTGGATCTTGTTTTGACTCAAGAGTTGGCTGAGATGCGGTTTCAGAATGTTCACATATTCGTTCCACAATAGGCTGCGAAGTGCAATCGCACTTGGTCTACATTGGTATAACGAAACATATAAGGCCCCTCCAAGATTGATGACAGGAATGGTAAGTCTTTCTACTGATTTCTCTTCCATGCGCTAAAAGTTTAACATTACGGGGGGGGAGGAGCAGCAAAAAAAAGAGTCATCTTGCACATCTCCATGTTTTTTTTTCGTCGTGCAGGATGCCGCTGTTGTTGCGGCATGATGCTCTTTAGATGTCTCTGCATAAGAGAGTTAGACCCTCCTTTGATGCCTTCACCGTAATCAGAGCGTGATGTCATCTGTCGTCACCGTCGACCTCTAGAAGACCTACCATGCAGGGTCAACCGTGCGTTGCGCAAACTTCAAAACTTTTGCGACCCGCTCCCTCACGGAGGGTATCTGTACGACCTCCCTCAATTGGCTATTGTGCCTTTTTAATATTTTAGGCCCATCTCCGGTGTACCGGACCATCGCTGACCTGGAGAGGTGATGGGCAGTGGCGTCTTTGTGGATTGAGGATCGAGGCAACATGACATTTTACTCATTAAATAGAAGCAAGATCCAAATTTTTGCAGTACCTAGGCATGGTATTAATCACAGAGATTTCAACTCTCAAAAATTCAATTGAGTGTTTTCGAACCTGCGAGTCTCTTTTCTATATAAGCTGATAACTGAACCGCAGAAATTACGTCACGATACAAACTTCCCGTTCAAATGTTACATCTACCCCTAGGTTCATGAATGGGATACAAAAATTCAGAAACTTCACCTTTTTTCCTTTCTAAAAAGTTTTCAAACTTATGCAAATGTTCGATTCTTCAAAATCGTCCCGTTGTTCCGTTTTTTGTGCACACGCGAGTTTTCATCATTCAAACGTTCATAATCCTTCAATTTAAACTTCTCGCAGATTTTCAAAGCTATTCAGAAACTTGGAGACTATCGCTTTCCAAAAAAAGTGCTGCATATTTTTCCGAAGATTACTTTCTCTGGAGACAATCTCGTTGTTCCGTTTTTTAGGAGCTCATGGCCACGACTTCGAAGAACGCGCGCGTTTTCGTCACTCACACCTTCAGAACCGACATTTTTGGGAAAATATCAAGATTTTTCCAAATGACCACTCGTTCGAAAATTCGTCACGTTGTTCTGTTTTTCCCTTAATGGCCTTTTTGAGCCACTTCCTTGAAACGCGAGTTTTCCACCTTCAAATGGCTATAAGTTTCTTCAAATTCGGTACAGTGAGAAGCGGAAAGGACCACTGAAATCAGAGAAAACAGTGCTACATAGCACACGCCAGAGCAGATTATCTTGAAAGGAGAAAACTTCTTCTGCCATAGGTTTCTATTAGTACTCCAGAGGTCAATCAGCCAGAATTCGCTGCACTTTCCTCCACTTCGATTTGTTCTAAAAGCATGGGAGTTCTTCTGGAAGAATTTTCGCTTGTGCTCACTGAAGAATGGTGTATTTTAGTAAGAAATCTCAATCTCGCTCTCCATTCAAGCGTCTGTTGTGCGTAGTCGTAAGTGGCAGATGGAAGTTTGTCCTCCTTTGCCACTTATTGTTAGCCACGCCTTGACAGCTTCTAATTTAGTGAATGGTACTTGAGGTTACGATCCCCCCTTTTCGTTTGTCAAACAAGACCTCCTCGTTGTTCTTTGCGCAATGTGCGCTTGACCCTGCTGCCGTGACTGCTCCAGCCTAGAGCTGCCTATAAAATTTCTTGAATCGGTTTACTAGTGGATTGCTTTCTCCGTTTCAAATGCGAGTGACTCCTTTTTTGCCCCACCCCTGAATAAAATTTGTCGATATTACAGAGACACCTATAGATCAAGTCGTGTCTCGAGGATGTCAACTTACGTGAAATTTAAAGCGTTATCGCATGATTCTTTCTTCAAATGCAATGCTTTTAGGCGAAGTTGCTGCACGGCCCATCTTGAGATCCCCTTCCAAGGCAGCACTTACGATAGGTTCTAGAGGGACGTGGAAGTGGTCGATGGTGCGCCAACTGGTTAAAGGAATCTTGCGCGGAAAATTCTTGCACTCTTTCCTAACATGAATATGTCAGTTGTGATCACTGGAAATAGCACACAAAGTTTCACGCATGAAGATTCGGTTTCTGAAGAGAAACAAACGTACAAAAACTACACGTTATGGACCATCGAAGGACCAGGAGGCAGAGCCAGGCGAGGCATGGAAAGAAGACGGCGTTTGGCCGGCTACGTACCAGGCGACGCAATGAGAGAATCGGGTTAAAGCGCGCGATTTCGGAGAGTGGAGACAAATCGATCGATGGAATAGGATGGAGTAGAAGTGTAAGATGTGAATGCTAGTGAATGCACTCCAAGAACCAAGTTTGAGCATCCCCGTCGCCAGCATTCGTGAAAGACGTCCGTGGGCAATTCGAACGCGTAGCAGCCTTTTCGAGTTTTCGAATTTCTAATCAAAACGAAAGCAATACTTCAGTTCTTTTCACTATTATCGTGGATAATGAGTCTCAAGCCAGTGATTTATGGCTGAAATAGAATCATGATTTTTCCGCGCAAGATTCCTTTAAACACATTGACGCGGTAACGCGTCTCACTTTGCGCACCTCGTTGGACATTGAGACGCGTTACCGCGTCTCACCCTTATCATCCCTTTTTCTAGGGCATGCGCAGCTTTTTCCCGAATTGTTTGTCTCTCTTCTATGGATTAGAACATAACATTATTGTGAACGACATAGGTCATTGTTTGTTCAAATATGCTCCAGTTTAGAAGAAGTTTTCCAAGCTCACCGAAACCGGCGGCTTGGTTCATTAATAGTTTTCATGCTATTCTCATGAACACGTCAATAAAAAAGGGTAGTGAAAGTAAATGCAAATCTAAAGAGACAGAAAAATACATGTTTCACTTGGTATAACCACATCAAAAGAGCTTTTGGCATCCACTACAGATAAAATGACTAAAATTTCCTTTTTCATTACCATTACATGTTCTTTAATCGGAACTTCGTCACTATATACTCTATTACCTTCTACGCATTGACTGTTACTGAGATGTTTTTGTACCACTGGTGCTTTAAAAAGTTATCAATAAAAATTCACGGATCCGAGGTGCGGCGGTCGCACTCGCAAAATCGGCCCGGTCCCACACGGCCAAAAAAGCCAAAACGCGCGCGGTCGTCAATGTGTTAACAGTAGAGAAAGCCCTAAAAAACGCACGGGGATCCACTTGTTTGGCCGCTGATTCGCTCAGCGGACGTATGAGTGAGCTTATCGCAACCCGTTCGGTAGTGCAATGCCAATCCATGATCCAGTCGAGTTCTCCAGGTGTGCCATTGCTGGCAGCAATGCTAGTTTAAAGCAACAGTCCAAGGAGGGTTTCAACCAATTCAATCCTGAGGTGTGGAAGCATGCCCCAGCCCAAGTAAAGTTCATAGGAACTGTCACTGAATTAAAAACTTACCTTTGAAATGCGTAGGAAGGGCTCGAACTTCTTCGAAAAGGGCGGGTCCACCGAGCCTCGGTGGAGCCGCCCCCTTGCTGCTGTGAAGAGCGCGTAGTTGATTGGCGGTCGTTGCGGGACCGCCGGGACTATTTGAGGTCGATCCTTTAAAGCAATCGATGTAGTGATGCCGACAACGCTGAATTTCTACATTTTTTCCTTCTACCTTCTACCTTCAAAACATGAAACGATCCCATTATTGCGCCCCAATTGCAATAGCTGGCTGCTTGCCAGCAATTGCCAGCTATTGCAATTGGGGCGCATTTACTGCGGGCATGTTCATACAACTCGTCCAACGAGCGTCTTCCTCCATTGCTAAGTGGCGAGGGGAGCCCCTGTCTAAGTCCCTGTTCGACGTCTTTTTTAAACTTTTCTTTCATTATTGGTCAACTTTGCACCCACAACTTCATTATCGGTGGTTTTGCCGCGAATTCGTTCTTGGACTGTTGCTTTAAACCAGTCCAGGAACGAAATTTTGACGAATTTGAACGAATTTGCGGGCCAAAAGCACCTATATGGAAGTTGTAGGTGAAAAGTGGTCGAACGTAAAGAGAAAAAGTGAAGAAAACGCCCAACTGGGGCTTAGACAGGGACATGCCCTGCCGTTTAGGGAGACGTGTGTTGGACGAGTTGTCCGAACCTGCCCGTAGTACATGCGCTTTAATTGCAACTGCTGGCAAATAGCTGCATGCTTGCAAATACATAACTATTTGCCAGCAATCGAAATTGAAGCGCTTCAATTGCGTTCTTATGGAATCGACCTCATACAGCGCGGCGGTCCCGCAACGACCGCTAGTCAAGCACGGACTCTGCACAGCGTATGTTGGAGCGATCCGCCTCTTTATGGGTGATCCGCCCCCTCCAAGAGGACTTCGACCCCTTCCAGCGCATTTTAGAGGTAGGTTTTGAAATTAAAGACATTTCCTATAAACTTTAGTTGGGCTGGGGCATGTTTTGACCGCCTAATGACCAAGTAGTTGAAACCCTGCCTGGACTGTTGCTTTAAATCACCGACCTAACCGCTGGTCGGGACCCAGTTGGGGCGGACTCAAGATGGAATTCATTATATATTCTACCAGATTCCCACTTGTGACCAAGATAAAATAAATTTCAAATTACTGCAAAAAGCCCACAATCCAAAAAGAAAACGGTCAATCTCATGGTAAAATATTGAGTAGTTTTATACCTTGTTGATAACATTCTGGAGTCACAGAAACATTGACAGGGCCTGAATGGAAGCGGTAGAGGAATTCGCTGTCTATTAAAAAAATCCTGCTCGATTTTTCTCGTTTGACCTTTTTCCTCCATACTCCTTTTTCTTTTCTCTGCTCACAGGTTTTCTCACCTTTTCCACTGCGTCTTGATGGCATTCAGGACATCCCTTAGAATGGGTTCCTCCACCAAAAACAGCTGTAATGTCGAAACCGCTACTTTCACAGGTAGAGGTGCGATACTTCTGGTCGCTCCATGGCTAGAAGATAAGTCACTGGTGTACGGGTACCGTACGAGTGGACACACAACACCCAGAGCAAACGTGGTTAAGTCCACAGCCTTGACTTTGTGATTTCTGAAAGATCGTCCTATTTTTTCTTTACTATCTATCAAGAGAATTCGACCTGTTTCATATTGCATTTGATGCATCGCATAGAACGCTTCCCAACAGGAGGCCTCACTAGAGCCGTCGCCGGTAGATACACTCAATTCACTTTTGTCGCTCTGGGTGACGTCACAGCTGTGCGTTGATTGAATCAGGATGCGCAGACCCGCTTCGCCCCCACCACTTCTCAATCTGGCAACTGCACAAAATTCGAGAATTGTGAAGGTGGACGTGTACAAAAGTTTCAGAAGGTGTTGTTTATCCACACGTATGGCATCTGTGCGATACTAATTTTGTAATCTAGCAGTAGAGCGAACAAAAGCCTTGTAATTCGAGTGCACAGAGGAAGCTTAGTCGGCATTGCTTTGGGATGCTTTCGAAAGAAGGAGGTACTCAGGCACATGTCTTAAGTGTCAGGGAGGCACCAGGAAAAGGGTGAAAAGGGTCATGGAATAGAACCAGGAAAATGGACTGTAAACTCGTCTAATTTGGAGAAAAATTGAGGATGCTGTCCCAATAAACAGTGATTGTACAGCCTGTTTTACGTCGTTCAGGGCGTGCCAGGCTTTTTTCAAAACGGTTTTTTGCATGATATAGGGGTACATGCAATAACGGTTCATTTTTCCTGAATGGCTCTCTGAATACCAAAAAAGGGGCGAAGAAAAATCACCTTGGAAACTGTCGTTTATACTGCTTCGTTGTGGGCATATCGCCCACAAGGTTGACTGATGTCATATCAGAGGGTTCCCTCTATCCGTACATTGAAAACAACGGAAGCTTAACGATGCGTTTGTCCAAGCTATGTGCTTAAGAGAGTGTCATGGTTTCTTGAGGAATTTCAGTGTTGGGTGTGGAAGTGGCGTGGTGGCCCAGTGGATAACGGGATGGACTCTAGTTGGCACGGAGGAGTGACGGTTGTTGGTTCGACTCCTCCAGATTTCTTGCGTTTCTGGCTGGCACCTCAGAATAAGTGCCAAGTGGTACTATCTTTATATTTACCTCCGTAAATATGATTTGGGTCACAGATAACCCCACTAGACGAGTTTTCTTCGACAGCCGTGGGAAACATGTCGTGGAACCAAGATGGCGCCAAATTGCGCTGGCGTCAAAAAAGAAAGCCATGTTTGCGATCAGATCTAACCCTTACACCAAGGTTTAAGAGAAATAGAGATTTTGACTCGACTATAAAAAGTTGGACCGGCCGTGAGGACAACTTGACCAAGTTGTGTCCCTGGAGGGCTTGGAGGCGAGCTCGAGGCGAAAATCAGTGCTATCCATTGTGATAATCATGGAAATCGACGTTTCGTCTCTATAAGACACTTCTTTACTATCTTCTTTACAATCTTGAAGCCAATCTTGACACCAAAGAGAGGCCTAGCCAGGGAAAGGATCGAAATTTCAACATGCTACTATTTATTTGAAGGGAGGAAAACCTAGCGACCAAGTCATCGTGCGTGGTCCTTTGGCCATCACCGGCTTGCGTGACTGTCATTCTAGCAGGTCCAAATTTGTTACTTTTAGAGTACGACTCTAGTGGACAAGGAAACCGCTTTCGATTCATCCGCACACCATGAAGCCTGACTATTGACTTACTTGGTCTGCTCGAAATTTGGTTAAAATCTTATTTTCTCCGAAACTTCGAACATAAGGGTTATTCAGTGCCTGATTACGAATATGAGATTCGTTTTGGCGCGGACGTCATCTGAAGCCGCTATGACACCATTTGTGCCACATTGGTGCCCTTTTGGTGTCACAAATTCCATGACCACTTTTTTGGACAAAAGCTACTTGTAAGAGTTGCTGATGGTCCTAATCATGCAAATGACATCCATTCATGGCGCTCACGCTATTTTGCGCAAATTCTGAGATTCCAACTCGAAATGCAAAAATTTGTCATCGCAAGGAATCGAACCAAGATCATTTTATCACCCCTTTTTTGTTATTCAAGGGGTCGTTCAGGAAAACCCAATCATGGTTCTGTGGTTTCCTCATGTGCCAAGAAATCATTCGAAAAAGCTTGGCACGCCTTGAACGACCTTCCTGGTTAGATCCCGCCAGAGTTTGAGCGACTCCAAAAACTTATCAACAATACATCGAGCGTCTTTGATCACTGGTAAAGTTCGGATCGGATAATTGCAAGCATCTACTCTCCGCAGCGCGCAAGTGACACTGCCTTGCTCAGAACCCAGGTCTCGGAAGTGTGCGTTAGAAGGAAGCCAAACTAAGCCGCAGAACGAAGAGGTTGGCAGAGTTGGACATTTTTCGTCATTGTCTGCTCTTGCTACTTGCTTCCGTCTGCATAACTTTGAAGCTCGGGATAATCGTCATTTTCATTTCCCTGTGCGCACGTAGCGAAAGCATTCCAAGATGCTCGTTTTGTTGAACGTGAACTGAACATCAGATACCGGTTGATCGTAGTCGAAACGTGGACCGGTGAAAGGGTGCGGCGATGTAGTCGGTAGCCCATCTGCCCTGAAAGAAGGAGATGTGGATTAGATGTGACAACCCTTCCTAATGATTCCGATAGTTGCTATGAAGTTGTATGTGCTTCATGCTGAAGTGCTTGTCTTTTATGTCGCTTACCTTTCAGGTATACAATTGTCGTTTGGAGCATACTGTCTTCGTAATGCTTCTTTTTAACGTTCAAAGGCACGAATTTCCTGGCTTCACAGCTAATTACTATGAAGGGTAAGACCTTGCTCCACTTCCTTGCTTTCATTTCTAGCAGAACTATTTACTTCGTTTCGTTCAGCAGAATTACTGATCCTAGTAAATGGATATACAAGTTAAAGATGGTAATGGAGTCTTGGATCAGTAACTACGCTGAGAGGCATCGAGTGAGCTTTTGCATCTTATTCAACACGGCTTAATATATTTTTCGCAAATTTTCTAGCTTACCTACCCTTATTGCCCTTACATGGCATGTGCCTTTCGAGTTTTCCAAAAAAGCGGACAACAGTATTTGAAAGTGCTCTGCGGATATGCGAGGACACGATACGGTTCGTAGTTGTCAAGTAGGAACACGTGATTTCCTTGAAGGCTTTGTTTTCAGACGCTCCCGGGTGGAATCCTTGGGGAAAAAAGTGGGATGTTCCGTGCAACATTAGCGCTGACTGTGAACCGTTTGGCCTCGGTATACTTGCAATTCCCTGTACGGACTTTGTTTTGCTCCAGCTGATAACATTTATTGGATGATTAGGTGAGAGCTTGAAATTTGCAGAAAACCGATCAAGTTGGACAATATTTTCGGAACTTTCAGACCCAGATAGCTTCCCGTGTGCTTCCGATAGCTGTATTTGATTTTCATCGCTCAGTTTTGCATCATTGTCATTAAAATAATAAATAGATTATGAAGCGTTTCACGTTTTGCACGTCTAAGACACTTAAGTCGCAGACAGAAAAGTCCGTAGTACATAGGCATTGTCAGCACGCTGCTGTAAAGTGAAGGACTGACTGATTTCTTGAACGCAGAGAACGGAGGTAGTCGGGAAGAGCGAGCTCAGAGGTGAGGAACACCAGCAAGCCGTATTTCTATTTGCAATTTTGATTTCCCTATTTCTAACTAGTGTCCCTGTCTCTATCGATATATCTAGGTCTCGGTTCAAAGTTCCACGGGGTGTTCAATGCCTTCCCTCGTGAGTCTTTCCCACTACGTCAATAGCCAGTTTGGGCCCAATCAAACTACCAGCGAATTCGTTCCATGACTTGTCGACGGATCGCGTCGGCACTTCTATTTGAAACGACGAAGATTCGGCACGGATCCCGCCGGGTTTACGCCATAGCACCTGTAATGAACGGACGAAAAACTAATCGAGAGCGAATTTGAGGAGAAAAAGGCTACCTGAAGAATCGTTCTCTGCGCCGAACGTTGAAGTCATGGAGAGAGATGCCGAGGATCTCTAGCCTGTTTCACGTACGAATCTGCTCCATCGACGTGTTGCTGTCGTGCTTCGTTGCGGGTGATCGGAGTAATGCGGCCTTACATGAGTATTCCAAACGCGGTACATTGATGTTTTCAGGGTAGTATGTAGTTGAAGTGGCGTATACTCATGTAGACCTGGCCGTGGTAGGGGAGAGCCACGAGGGGCGCGTCTGACATGACATGCTCTCCTTCTTTCCTTACGTACATCCCGGCAGCACAGGTATCGAAGTGCTCCAGGAAATTGTCTGCTATCTTATTTACTTATTACTCTTATTACTCGTGAGCGCAGTTTCTTCTTTTCCAAATCCACTATCTCGGGGGCATTCGATTTTCTTGGGGATCCTTTTCTGAATATCTTGAAGTGGCGACGGAGGCTCATACTTCTCACTACTGTTATTGTCGCGCTCTTTCAGTTTGCTTTCGAGAAAAGGGTTGCTGTTTGAATCTGAGCCCTCTGACGTCTCCAATGACAAGACGTAGGAGTACGATGATGAGTTGGATCCGTGAGAACGGTGCTTCCGATTGCAACGATTTGCGAGACGTCCGACCTCTGACTCGCTTTCGCTTCGCAGGCGACCGTTGCTCCTCTAACGAATCATCGAGAAGCTGGCCATTGGAAGCATGGTCGTCATCCATTAGGATCTCTTTCAAACGGTCGTATTCTAAATCCGACATCTAAAAAATAACTGTTCACGTAAAACTCATCCTTCATCTTCGAAGAGTGTGAGAAAAATAATAGGCAGCGAGAGAGCACGAGGGTCCGGATCGATTACTGGATCGGCGATCTCTCCGTTAACACATTGACGACATTGCGTGTTTTGGCATTTTGCACCGCGTGGGGCAGGAGCGGTTTACAAGCGCGCCGTTCTCGCCTTACTTCCGCTTATTTTTTGTTCAAAATGCACATCAACTTGAATTTCATAGAAATATTTCGGCATAAATGAAAGCATAAAGGTAAGAGCAGTAGATTTTTACCTAGAAGAACGCATAATGACCATGAAGAAGCAAAAAAGCCACTTACGCTTCGAATGAAGTTCAGAACATTAAGCCAGAGTCAGGATTAAGGTGGAATAGACTTTCCATCACTAATATTTCCAGGAATGCGCTCAGAGGGGTGATGCCACACTCCTGACTCGAGATTGCGCGCCGTCAAGGCCTCTGGCCTACTACTTACAGCGATGGGTTCGTTTCATCAGCTGGTCCCGCCCACCGCGGGATGTGGTGCGTGGCTGGCCTAACGTGTGAGATCAGCTAGGTTGATGCCGTATCAACCGATGGAACGGCTGGCATATCCGGAAAACTCGTTTGGACGTGGCTCTCCCCCGAGCAAGCCTTCCTTCACTGCTAGAAGTGATGGGGTTTCGATTTCGGTCTTGTCGACGGTTTCTTTGTGTTTTTTCTTCACTTGTCGTTCCACCCAGGGTCGGTCCTATCGTTGC